AGACATGTCAGAAAAACACGGCATCGGGCGAGCTGCCTCTCGACTCACAGCAAAGCCTGTAGTGTGGTTACGTTTTTGACCTCTTCTGATGTTACAGACACTGCATAGCAGCACAACCATGAGAATCAACGTGCCTGCCAGGCCTCCGATAATTCCAATTTCGACCGGCGTCATTGCACATATGCTGTAGGGAGTATACTTTCTGGCGAAAGCAAAGAGGACGGTTTCTGCGGATGTAGCAATCTTTTGTACTCGGGCATTCCCCTGTATGTGGCTCGATACCACCCCAGTAGTAGATCAAATCGGCCGTGGCTGATTTACATCGCACTCAAGGCCGTATTGACTCTGCAGCAACATAGGCTTACCCGCGCTTTCGCCCTGCGCCTTCATGATTTCAATCCAATCCAACATGAGAAGCCAAAATCGGCTAAAAGAAATCCGAAAGCGGACAGAACCAGAAACTACCGGGATAGAGCAGGTTCTCACTGCAGTCGAGGCCAGGAGACACGTTTCATTTCCCGCAAGTATAACGACACCACAAGTTCGAAGCGGGCACACTATAGCTGCTACTATCATCATCTATCCGCCATGGCCTCTTCTGTCGTCCGGGTCTTGAGCCACTTGGCCGTTTTATGTAGTATCCTACATCACGTTTCAGGAGAGCAGCATGCAGATCAGCTTGCGAAAAGGGAGACTTCTCTCCAACCACGGGACTTTCTGCGTTCTTGCGTTGATTGGGGTATGTACTCTCATGAACGAAAGATAAAGATGGCTGCGTTTTGCAGGTCCACGGCAGGCGACTGGACCTGGTCGGTCCTTGGCTTGAACCTTTGTATGGTGAATCACGACGGTTCTCTGATGGCGCACGACGAGTAGGTATATTCTGGAAGCACTATCATAAAATGCTGATGACTTCCAGCGGAAACTTCTTTCTATCTGCCGGCCCCTGTTTATCCGATAACTCGACGTTGTCGTGGGCCAATTACAGATGCAGCACGCAAAACGATGACGGCGACGGGCGTCATGTCGATCACGGGATAGATCTTAGTAAGAGGTACCAATTACCGTGCTGTCGGACGCGACTGATACATCTCAGACTTGGTGGTCGGTAATGACAATGGCATTCTGTCCTGTGGTCAACGAGCCCACAAGGGGCTTCTGCTCAGCCAAGAGCAAGTTAGCTGGTTTGACTGGGGCATCGTGGTTAACTAGGGCGACAACGCGTGGTTACCGGTGCATTTAGATCGGCCACTCTTATTTCATCCATGGCACTATCGTCACAGACTATGATGGAGAGTAGGCTATTCCGTGATCGTTGATGAGCGCTGTGAGCTGTTCGAGGACGTCTGACGATTTCAATGAAGGGATCGAGAAAGTGGAGTAGGATCGTCTACTTAGGCTAAGCAAGGCATTATTGCCGTCGCGAATATAAGTCATTACCTTGGCCTTTCTGGAGCATTCATTCATGAGAACGAATGATTTGCGGTCGTCATGTCAAACGGTTGCCAATCTGCATTCTTCATTAGCTATCTCCCTGTCCAAACCCGGCGACTTATCACTCCCACGCCGTGCATCTGGTCAATTCTTACATGTACGTTCATGATGCAGCTGGTTGTAACTCTTGCTCCAGCAAATATGGCTATGAAAATTCTAAAATCAATGTTGATGCCGGTGGTCGGTTTCTTGGGTCGGGGTATTATAAGGGGAAAAGGACGAGTCATGCTGTGAATGAACGCCCCGTAGGCTGAGCTTTGTTGATAAAAAGAGGAAGAATTACGGGAGAACTCACGATCGGAATGACGTAGAGATTTTGAATGCCCGTTAGGTGCCCGTGGGGGGACTCCTAGCTCCGGTCACATATTTCTTTTGCTGGAGAAGGACTAAAGCCATGCCATATTCAGGCTGTGGTTCGAGCTGGCTCTGCCATCCGCCAAAAGCTGCTTACATGGACTATCGGGCCTCTACGAGTTGGGCACATCACGCTGGAGATGTGCGCCGTTCCAAGGAGGTTCGATTCCGTGCCGGGGGTTGAAGTTTTCTCCCGGGATGCAGATACGAGCATCTGACCGCATCGCGTCAGCAAGTGTGTTCAATCGTGAGACCTTCTCTGTCGTCTGCGATATGTCAACGTCTTGCAGTGAATCCAACGGTATGTAAAGGTGAGTCGAAGCGACGATGTGAGTCAATCAGCGGAGGTGAATTCGATCAAGCAGTTCTTCTATTGTCGTCGAAGAGTTGTCCAGCTTCAACTACGCATTCCATTCACGAAGTTCACTGACGCAAGGGGTCTTCCATCTGGCACCGTGTGTGATGGCAAGCGATGGCCATTACATCACCTGCATACCTTAGTCCATCCACAATGTCCTGATCAAAATTTTGATCACAGTGCTAGTCGCGAATTCATCTTACGCCGGGTGATGGAGATCACGGTGCTCCCAATCTGGAGACAAACGGATCGACGTTGAAATCCTGCTAGATCATTGGTCTAGTGCATCTGATGTGCTGCCCTATTATCTCGTCAGCCAATCACATCCCTTGTCTAACCAAGAGCGCGAAACTTGCGGGAGATCTAGCACATGCGGTCAAGGGATGCTCCTTGTTAAAACTCTATCACAAGCGGATACTACACAGCAGATGTTTGACGTGACAGTCACGGGAAAGTGCATCAGAGGCTGATCTCTATGAGTTCCGCATGGCAGTATCAAGGACCTAGGATGGCGCCAACCAAGCGCTTCTAATGGATGATTTCCACGCATCTTGCGAACGAATTTCGAGGAAGAAAAAGGGTTGCAACTGTCTTGGAATCGATTCGTATGCTGGCATACACTACACCCCGCGACTTTCATGCTACTTGCAGCGTCGGTCGCTAGTGAAGTAAGCGTGGGGTTTGACGTCCCCCTCGAACCACGCTCAACTCCTGGAGCCGTGAATACTTCCGCGGCCCGTCACCTGAGTGTGCAACGCGTGCTCAGTTCGTAGGCGTCTATCCATTGACGCGCTCCTGATGAAGAGACTCATCAAGAGCGCCAGTCCGGAGACGCCGACATACAATCCATAGACGCCACGCAGGCCGTAGACGTACGCATCTACGATCTTGGATCGCAGCCCAGCGTCGCCGACAGCGCTCAACATGGCGGATAGAGCATGGGTACCTCCGTGCGTCCCTGCGGGTGCCAAGCCATCGTCTTCCAACTTGCGCAGCACCACATTCTGAAAGGTGGAACCGCCCACGCCGACTCCGAGTGCCATGCCAAACTGTCGGAGAAAGGCATACATCGCTGCGGCGATCGCTTCGTCGTCCTTGTCGCAGAGAGCTTGCGACGCCATGTTCTGCGCGTTCAAGATGAGCCGTGGCCAAGACCAAGGAGGACGAGCGTCGGCGCCCATACCTTCGTTGGCGTGTCGACATCCCACAGCATCATCAGCCCGGAGGCAATCGTAGCCAGAGTCCAGCCGACCCAGATCGGCCACTGGTAGTTGTCGAGTACCGTGACGAGTCGACCGGTGATGATCGATGCCGGCACCAGCGTGAACATGACCGGGAAGAGTGCGATGCCGGTCTGGACCGGGGTAAAGCCTTTGACGTCCATAAAGTAAAGGGGCACGTAATAAAGCTGCCCATACATCTGCGGTTGTTGTCAGCATGTCCTACTGCGCGATTCATGACAGGCCATCCTCACCACGAGGCCTTGGATGGCGCCGCAAGCATACGTCGCGACGGAGCTGGCGGTTTGGAAAAGTCGGCGCTGCAAGAACGTTAAGGCTGCGAAGCGTGACTCGTAGATCATAGTCAGTGCCATGCCGAGTACCCCGAGCAACAACGGTGCAAGAGTGCCGGCGCAACCCAAGCTGTAGCGCAAGCCTCCCCAGGAGACGGCCACCAACAACAAAGTGGCCGAGCCAATAAACAGAGAGTTTCCTAGCCAGTCCATCTTCTTTAGTTTCTCCCGTACATCGTCAGCGGGAGGATCAATATTAACTAGCCACGGCACGAGAATCAGTCCGGCCACGCAAAATGGGAACATGATGTAGAAGACCCAACGCCACGTTGTGTGTTGAGCAATGACGCCGCCCAGTATGGGCCCAACGCAGTTGCCCAATGCCCATGCTGCCTGTCTGAACGGGGTAAGCGAAGGTGAACATGCGTTCGAGGGGGGGCACTTACACTAAGCCGTACCACGTTGGCCGAACGGGCAAAGGGACGAAGTCGGTGAAAATCAACAGGCACAAGACGATGATGCCGGCACCGCCCACGCCTTGAAGAGACCTCCCAACCAACATGAAGCCGATCGAATGCGCAACGCAGCAGAAGATGGTACCGAGAGCGAACAGGGCGACCGAGACGGTCAGACATGGCCGCCTACCGAACACGCGGCTTGCGTCCGAAATGAACAGCATCATTACGGCGTTCGCCAGGAGGTACGCCGTCCCTATCCAGAAGCCGTCGTATGTGCTGAGCGCGAGGTCCGCCACGATGGCCTGTGATGGTTAGTTCGCGCAGTGCAGGGATAGTCGCGGGGATGACGGCGAACTTGTAAAGAAGTCACAATGATACAGGCGTCGAGGGCGACCATGAGTGACAAGATGGAGGCTGTCGCCATGATAGCACGTTGACGCCCCGAAGGACTCCATTTGACCAGGCCGGAACTAAGTTCGTCGTCTTCTAGCCCGTCGGAATGGATAGGCTGTTGGCGGTGCATGGTCGGGGTTGGGTTGGAAGGCAGAGTACGATGCTGGGTAGAGGGTACCGGGGAAACGTTCTTATGCTGAGATCGTAGCCTGGAACGGATGACGGCCGTCTTTTTGTAGCAAGAGTTCATGTCGAAATACCCACCCGGAGATGTGCTAGGTAGCGTCCCAAGCGTCTCTAGCATTCGTGCGCCAGATCTGTCCACGACCGTTCAATAGGCACCCCCGTGTCGACTCAAAAGAGACTTCCTGCTTTCTTTCGTTACATTTCAAGAGTCGTTTTTGGCTATTCGAGTGGCACCATTCGGTGATATGCAGATGCTTCGAGCGTGAGCTTGTCACACCGGCTTTCGCAGACAGGTCGAACTTGGAAAACATATAAGGCGCAGTAATACGTCCGAAGAACTGACCCGAAGCCTCGTCATGCTTCCTGCAAAATGAACGATTATGAAGTCTTTCGTCAGCTTGCTACACATCCTTTCACGTCCGCAACACTGGAGATGTTGCAATCCGCCTTGCGGGTCATCCGCAGGCGCTACCCGGTCTCTTTCAACGGAGACACCGGGACAGATAGTGCGGAGTTTCCACCACGGGAAGCCTTCGAGCAAACAAAGATGCCGTTTCATGTGACGAGCGGATGGATTGAATACATGAAGACTATAGGTAACTCCATCCATAACACAGCACAAGAGGTGTCGCCATCGTTGCGGCGTTTTGCCAGGGGCGACCACTCCGTGGATCACGACGTAGTCACCGATTATACCGGCCTGCTGCAATCATCTTATCCGTCGTCACACTACGCAGACCCTGTAATTTTCACGTCGAATGGCCTGGAAACAGCTGCTACGCTCTGCAGCACTTCCGGTACCATGACGGTAATTCCATGCAACTACGAAGGGGCCTGGTGTGCGGCCGTCGCCTACGTAGATTGCGTACAGCTGTACGGAGTGCAGGCTGAAAGCAGCTCTACAATGGTAGAACGCTTACAGGATCTGTTTCCTGGCCGCAAAGTCCGCTTACCCGAGCCTCTTGTTGCAACACGACTCGAAGATACTGGAGTTTTGATGCTGCTGAGCATGCGAATGCTCGTCGGCGGAGGTGTGCCGGCGCAGTGTGCCGACGTCGCGTTTTTACAGCGTTCGCGAGCACGAATCTTCGTAGAGCTCTTGACCAAAAAGCTGGATGCAGAGGATCGCGATGTCGCCAGCCGGATCCAGGAAGCGCACGCGGAGGACTCTCTCTTTTTCGATAAAGCTTTCGCACACGGAGAAGACCTCCGCGTGCGGACCGACGCGATGATCCCAGCAGATATAGGAGATGGAGTCGACTTTACGCTTGGTGCCTCTCCCGACCCGGGAGCTTTCTCCTTAACGGGACTAGGCTCCGGCGTGACGACCAGTTTGTTGCCTCGGGCCCCGCATCATTCATCGTCGTCCCCGCAGCCGGCCGGCCCTGCCTACGAGAAGTTCACCTCACTGCGCAGTGGGCGTACATTCGGCGTAGGCACGTTCCAGATGCCTCCGACCATGTCTGGGGAATGCAAAACCATGCTCGCCATGATGAGCGAGGCCGTCGCCTTCTACCGAAGCTCTCGCCTGTCGGGGAACTCCGAACTTGCAGTGATTTGGTCCGCGATCAGGACCGGACAAAAGAGTGAGTTTTACCGCCGTTACGGTGGTGTGCTGTTCTACAGAGAGATGCTGCGGCTCAAAAGCGATCGGGAACTTGCCTTGCGCTTGAGGCTCAGCATAGCTCCGAGTGATATAAAAGAGATGAGACGCCTCCAGTCAAACTTTCGAATCTGGCACGACATTTGCCAGCTGCGCCATGACTGGGGGCCGGGCCAGTATGCGCTGCTTTGTGTGCTACCAGAAAGACCAAACGTAGAACGGATGAGCGAGAGAGAGCAACAGGTGCAGCTACGGAGACTCCAAGAGCGGCTTGACGATGATCGCGACCCCCTTTCAAAACAAGTAGACACCGCCAAAATCCTGTGCACTGCCCTAGTTCAGGGGCAAGTAGACTCCGACAAACGATTATTGATCGACGATTATCACTTCAAGGCTTATCAGGATCTGTCGGAGCTGGAGTTTGCTGCTTACATGAGCCTCGATCCACGGCCAGTCATTCCCATTGAACGACATAGATCCTGATGGCACAAACTGGGGGCTTTTCCGCGACGCGGGCAAAAGATGGAAGCAAAGACAATCAGGAGCATAGTAACAAAGTAGCAAGCGAAAATTCATTCCCTTTACAACTCTCTGATCTCTTTCTGCATGGACGTCTGTCTTCTTGGCACTACATACATACATACATATCATAGTTTGATCTCACACTGCTGTACTGACCCACCGTGAAGGCCCTGCTGACAGCTTTCGCCCCACCTCATCCAGGTCTTTGGAAATGTACGGAAAACGGAGGAATGCCAAATGTTTGCTTCTGCTGCTACTCTAAAAGTGCTTGTAGTCTGCTTGTGTTTACGTGGTGCTATTGATTTTTCCCCGTTCGGTCTTACACAAAGGTGCCGTCATCTTTGACTTCAGATTACTTCATCTATTTCCCCTGTACGCTTTTAGACACCCTACTGTGAGATCAGGACAGGATTCAGAGCGGATTACAGTAGCCAGCGAAAAGGGCTTCGTCCCTTTCGCAACTCTCTGGTGTCTTTCCGCACGGACGTCTGCTGTCTTGGCACCAACACAGTTTGATCTCACACAGCTGTACCGACCCACTATGTAGGCCCTGCTGACAGCTTTCGCCCCACCTGATCCAAGTGTTTGGAACGGATTACGCATGGCATTGCCCGCTGCAAAATGTTTGCTTCTGCTGCTTCAAGTGCTTGTAGCTTGCTTATTTTTACGTGGTGCTTTTGGGTTTTCTCCACTTCGGTCTTGCACGTAGCTGTAACCATCCTTCACTTTGATTATGTCATCTAGTTGCCCTGCAGGAATTTGCATAGCCTACTGGAAGACTGGGACAGACGTTCGAAGTGGATACAAACGATTAGAAAGGACAACAGGGCTGGTCGGCCTAGCACAGTAGAATCCCGGAGAGTCGATTCACTCCGCAAAGTGACAGACTACTGAGTGTCATGTGATCCAGTGGGTGACTTACCTCCCACCCGACCTGCAAAAGCTTGCGCCAACCGTGGCTCTCTGGATGACTAGGTTAGTTCCAGAAGTCAGCAGCATTCATTTCTTCTTCGAGGGGTCCATTTTCCCTGGTCAAATGGGTCTCTGGCTGTAGGGGTCCGTGCATGACAAGAGCTTGAATCGGCTTTGGTGTCATCAAGGGGGGTGAGTCTAGTTTTGCAGATTTGGATTCCCTGGCCACAGATGACTATGGAGAGTGGAAAATGACCGTCTGTCTCGTGGATCCTGCTGAGCCCACGCCCTTCGCCCAATGGCCGTTTGATGTACTTCGATTGATTAGAAAATAAATCGTACTGTGTGAGCGCCAAGAAGCTATGATGTCCGTGCGGAAAGAGACCAAAGAGTTGTCAACAGGATGAAGCCCTTTTCGCTGGCTGACTACTGTACAATTATAAGTACAATAGAGGTCAGCTTAATACATAGAACGCCGAACGGTCGATTCACTCAGCAGATTGGCAGACTACTGGCCGTTATGTGACGCGGCGGATGGCTTACCTAACATTGCACCTGACGTGTACGAGCTTGTGCCAGTCGTGATGACTGCATTCTGGAAATCAGCAGCATCTATTTTTTCTTCCAGGGGTCCATACCCCAGTCGAATGGGACTCTTGCCGCAGGGGCCCGCGCATGATGAGAGCTTCATTTGGCTTTGGTGTCATCAAAGGGTGAGTCTAGTTTTGCCGAACAGCCCTATTGGGATTACCTGGCCACGGCCAAGACCATCAAAAGTGGGAAACGGCCATCTGCCTTGTGGATCCTGCTGAGCCGACGCCCTTTATCTCATGGCTATTAGATGTACAGTATGCACAATACTGTACATATCAACGCTGTCCGCTACGCACTCTCACTCCAGTGCCGAGATCTAACGAGACCGCAAAGAGGGCTGGTAGTTCCGTACCTAACGGCCCGAGCAGCACCTAAGAGCGTGTAGAGTCTATTCCCAAATTACAAGCCACTCAACGAACCCATATTCGGCCGCGCCTGCCGGCCCCTCATCGCCACGCAAGCAGGAAACGGGATTCAAAGCAGTGTAGCGAACGGCCCTTTCTGGAGTATTTACCGGACGCCACGCAGTTGGCTTCTTGCTTCACGCAGAGCCAGAAAATGATTTCAGCCGTAATTCCACGACGGAGCAAAGATGTAAATGCGATATGTATGCTTGCGTCCTCTCTCGAACCTGTCTTTTGGGCTTCGATCACGCAACGACCACGTCTCCCCTCCTCCATACAGCGTCATGATTTCCAAGGTCATCATAGCGCTGCACGTCATCTTGACGCTAGTCATACTCGCGTTGACCGTCAGGATTCTGCAGGATGAGCAGAACGAGGAGAGTGGCATAGTACAGATTCTGGTACGTGACCCATTACGACGACAATGCGGGACTAACGACAGTAAAGCTACGGAAAGAAGCGCGGCGCTTTGTTCAGGTTCCTGATGTGGTCGGATCTATCGCCACAGCGGTGAAAAGTGCGGCCTCCAGCGTGGTCACAGCCGCAGTTGCGTCGGGCGAGTCTCTAGTCGCCGCAAGCCTGCCGTCGCGCGTGTCGGTGGGCACGAAGTACGCATGTGTGGATTCTGAATGCTCCGCTGTCCCTGGTTCCGCGTTCCATCTGGTCCAGTACTTGGTCTCGTTCCTTCCTTCGCCTGAGGAGGCCGAAACGTTACAGGAGTTGGTAGACAAATGCCCGAACCTGAAAACCTTTCTGTCCGCCGGGTTGGGATGTGCTCTTGCTTCGACCATACTGCTACTTTCCGGTCTCAAATTCAGGTTGCTCCGCTTCGTATCGCTTGGATTGGGTACCGTCTCTGTTATCCTGTTTGCAGTAGCCGCTGGCTTCGCGGTGTCGCTGTACAAGACAGCCGAGGCTGTGGCAGACCTCCTTGGTGTCGAGGCGAGCAGAGGAGACGTCTTTGAGGCATCCCTAGCAGACTTCGTAGCAAGCTTGATTATGACGGCGCTCGTACTCGTGGAGATCATCCTTTGAGAAGAGGGTTGTAAAGCTATGCGATATGGAATTCCGACGGAGAATCGATGGAGTACCATACATATCTCTACGGGAGGGGCCCGATGCACGCGCTCGTAGTTGCCATGAAGTATCTCTAAAGACATCGCTCCTGAATATGTCGGTGGATATCGCGCATTTACCGAAACACCTCCCGCATATCTGAACCCAACCCTGCCCAGCTATACCCTCAGATAACTTGGAGAAAGAATATGGCGTCCCGCCCAAGAGCTATGGAAATTTTACTAGCCAATAACATAGGAAAGAATGCACTACAATTAGCAATTCCTCTATCAGGTTTATGGATCGAGAACACTGGAGGCTCCGTTATAGCTGGGTAGGACCAGGTAGAAGTCCATACTTCCTTGGATCATTTATGACAGGCTCCCAAGTTACGAAAACTTCATCCTAGAAAGGCTTGCAGATTGACTGCAGGATTTCCTTTGTTCTAAATAGGCTGCCTCGAGCTACTTTTAATACACTCATACATATATACCCACTGGTATTTGCCATAATCGTGACACTACGTCTGTCGCTAGTGGAGTCGTCGCTGGTCGATGGCATCCTTCCGGGAGTGACGACGGTGGATTGACGGCAGTAGAGTCTTCCCTACTCGGAGTCTAGGCATCCCTCAAGTTTTGGGCAGCTATCACATGAGTGAACTCGGCCCGAGCCACCTCTGAGTGCGGTTCTAACATTAATATACAAGCCATGGTTTTAATTTAAGAGTAAACCCGGACGCGTTTTCAGCCTCGCTTCTTAGGCGTTCAGTTCAACTTCAGACAAATAACAGAACAAGATCCAAATACAGTAACCCTGGCCTATACGGTACATTAAAAAGGTAACATGCAGCTCTTGACATGATTCCCCGGCTAACCGGGACAATATAAGAGCCATTATTTGCTACGAGAAAGAAACAGGGTCAGTCTCGAGCGAGTGGTTAACACAGAGTCCTGACACCTTGTCAGCAAGAAAAGACGAAAGTGGTTGAATTACCTAAGGACTTTTACAGCGATACTTACGCAGCCGAGCTCGGCTATTACTGCACAGTGACAGGAAGACTTTGCTTTCTGAGATCGGAGCCAAAACATACCCTGCTAGAGAAGCGGCGGCTCAGCCTGGCTGCGATCTTTCTTATATCTAAGCGATCAATAGCGGGGCTGGAAGTCGCGCCGGATCGCGACCCACCCGTTAGTGAACTCTTCGTGAGGATCAGGTTCGCTAC